GAGTAAGACGAAGTAAGTTGAAGATGGTGTAGGAAGGAAACAAAGCAAAAGAAGCTTAAGGAGCTTTTGCACAACTAAATGAGCAAAGATTGGCAGCTTTTAGCTATGCTTTTAGTTATGCTCCTGCGCATTCCTTGGCTGACACACAAGCAAGCATTGGAGTGCATAAAACCAGACATGTCATTGAAAGGAAAAATCATAAAATTGCAGCTGACATTTTGGATATGTCATGCGGAGGAACACACTGGAAAAAAGCAATTATGCTTGGATTGGTTAGTGGCAAAAGGAAACTGGGCCGCCAAAGAACACGGAGGATAGACACCATAAAAGTTGACACTAGCCTGAGCATGGAACGACTCAAAGAAACAGTACAAGACAGGAAAACATGGAGAGAGCCGGCCCACAGAATCGCCAAGAGTTGGACATGACTGAATGGCTAACGACAGCAGCAGCTATGCAGGCTGCAGATTCCAAGTGCAGAACGCAAAGCGTCTATGTCACGGTAGGCCTGGGCAAGTATGGTCAATATATTTATTTAAAATATTTATAAACGGCCTTCCTTAACGCCAGCTTATAAGTCACAATTAAAACACTACATTTTAAAAGCAACAAAACAATAACCACTTTCCCTCCAAAAGACACCTGCAGGTTATGCCCCATTAAGAGTCCTGGTAAATAATATGGCCTTGCAGCACCTCCTGAAAATTTCTGAAGATGGAGTTCCCCTCATTTCCTCAGGGAGCCTGTTCCAATAAGGGGAAAAGGCACAGGCTCCGGTTCATGCCAAGTGGGCTCCCTTGTTTGTGTGCGTCAAGAGCCATCAAGTCACAGCTTCATTGTGGCGATTCTACAGGGTTTTCTAGGCAAGGGATGAACAGAGGTTGATTGCCATTGCCTGCCTCTGCATAGCAACCCTGGACTTCCTTGGTAGTCTCCCATCCAAAAACTAACCAGGGCTGACTCTGTTTAGCTTCTGAGACCTGATGAAATTTGGCCAGCCTGGGCTACCTTAAGTGGGAGTAAAGCCAGTAGGCAGCAATCTGAGAACCACAGTTGGCTCATGGGGACATATGGGAGGAGATGGACCTTTAGATATTGATGTTCCCCAGTGCACTGATGCACCATGTCGTGGGCTGTTTCTTCCCACCACTTTTCTCACCTAAGTAAGAACATAAGAGAAACCATGTTGGATGAGGCCAAAGGCCCACCTACGTCAATACTCCGTGTCACACAGTGGCCAAAACCCAGGCCAGAACTCCAGAAGCCCTCCCACTGTTGCCCCCCAAGCACATCACTGCCCCAGACAGAGTGTTCCATCTATACCTTGTGGCTAGTAGCCACTGATGGACCTCTGCTCCATATGTTTATCCAATCCCCTGAATACAACTCACAGCATTCATAAATACAAAATTCCTCTCAAAATTATCACCAGCTCTGATTTGGCAGGACACCAACTGTTGCTCAAAAGTGGAACTGAAATCAAGCAGACATTTCAAATTCCTCAGAAAGAAGAGAAAATCCAGACTTCTTCTGCCTTCTC